TTTTTTTATGTTCATTGTTGTGAAGTGGAATAATCTCTCAACTATTTAACATAATACTGGTGATTTTTTTCATGGTCAATTTATTTTACATATTGAGTTTTTTTAATATCAAATTAAATTATCATTTGTTTTTCTTTTTGTTAATTGGTCCTAGAAGAAATTGTAGATTCTTCAATTAATAGTAACACTTTTAATTAACATTATCTTTAAGGAAACAGTTATAAATTAACAATCCTTCCATTTTATTAGGAAGTATATGGAGAATAAAAAATGATAGTCACTATATTTACGTAGTTTCTACAGTAGTATGGACATTAATTCAATTCATATCTTTTCATGTGTCAAGCAACGATACCTTCAGTTTTCAACATTTTTTCCAAAGAATTTGATGTCACTGTCCTCTTTCTGCAAGTACCAAAATCTGTAATCTTTAATAATTGATATTGAAACTCCAATCTCATATAGTTAATTCATGGTAAAAATGTTCCATTGCAGAAGATATGATGACAAAGACAGCCTGTTATATAACAGGTTCAGTTAAGAATTCTTTAAGATGTCCGGCAGATTGATTGATTTAAACGAAAAGAAACAATAATTTTTTATCCCTCACTTTCCTTTTATCTCTCCAAATTTACAAACCAAATAAAATATTCATCATTCTCTCTCTTCCTACAAAACAGTAGGGAGGTCTCCTTTTGTAATTCCCTTCATAAATTGATCACTAAAATTATTTCTCCAATAACCAAATACATCGCATCTAGAAAAAGATGCCTTCCTTGGGGTAAAAACAGATATTGACAGCAATAGGGAAAAGCGAGAGAGGGCAGAGTTTCTATAAGAAGATTCACTGTGCTAGCAGAAAACCAAATGCATTTAACTATACCAATCAAGAAAGAGGATTGAAAAAGTAAGCACAAATAGAAACAGTAAAAGAAATGTCCTGCTGCTGCTATTCCGCTGAATGGCATGTGAGAGTTCTTTGTTACCGAGCTCAACATTCTTAGTGGCTTCAATAGCCTGTAAAAGCCAGCAGAAGCACGATTATATTTCTTAGAAATTGGAAATGCAACTATTTTTAAGCAGAATAAAACAAATTACAAGCACTGTGGTGCACTACCTGTGAAAAATATTATACCTTAACGATTTTAATTAAAACACAAAATGTGGATATCAGCATTATTAGGTGTATAAAATATTGACTATTCATTGTAATTACGGAAATTTTAGTTTTCTTGGAGTTCTTGCCTATTGGGGGTTATTTTTGATAAATTTGTTTCAAGATTTTAGTCACTTATTATTATAGGGACAACAAGTTTTGCATACTATTAAGATAGCTGATTACTAAGATTTGCAGATTTAGCCTTGAATTTGAGATGAATCAATATACCAAATCCTATTTTTATATACGTGACCTATTTCCATTCCTGTTCTACACTAATTCCAGTTTCACATTACTTGGCTATACTTGGAAGGTGGGTTAATGACGGGGGGTGGGCAGTATAGACATGATAGATGGCAGCCTTCATGTGTTCCCAAAAAACAAGAAAACAGGGGGGAAAAATATGATATGTTATCTAACCTGCTCATAAAGATGCTCAATTTGCTGAGCTTGCTGCAAAACATGAGTAGACATGAGGTGATTTAGTGCAGACATTTCCACCATCTTAGTTTCGGTTTCTTGAACTGTATCGAGAAGATTAGTCAATTCCACCTACAGGAAAAGAAACAATGGCAAAGGGTTAGTCACAAGAATCTAAAATCTTCAATTAAACAAACGACAGAATAAGACCTACAGAAATTCATAAAGAATTTGATTTTTACACCTGCAGGGCACGTGTTTCATCGTCCAAGAGTTGTTGCTGAACTCGTAGAGGCTCAGCACGTAACTCTTCAGGTTCTCTGAGGTCCATGCCATCTGGTTTTGAGGTTTCTGCAGAATCTTTTCTGGTTACACGGTTAAGTTTTCTCCGTGGTATTGCTTTATTAATAGCATCCTGGAAGCGTACAGCTCTTAGCTGATCAAACTGTGCAGTGACTGTATGGAGTCTCTCACTTAAAATTAGAACCTAAAATTGGCCCCAAGTAAACGTTAGCATACAAAAAAGTAAATAGCCATCTCAATTCATGAACTTGTTAGTATTCAGATAACATTATCAAGCATACATTCTGGCATAAGGGATCATACAACTGCTCAACCCACATACGTAACTAATAACTGAAAAATCAACAAGCACAAGATGTCCTCACCACCCCATGTTTGTGGGCAATCACGTCGGCATTAGATTTTGTAGTCGCAATGCCAAGCCAACCTTTGGAAGTTTCCTCTTCTTGATTTATACTATTCTTAAGAATATCAATTTGTTCCTGGCATGTTTTAATAAAAGTACTAACCTGCACCAAATTAATTACAATATTATAGTAAGTGATAAGCAAAACTGAAGCTATACGATTGAGATATCATTCTTTGACTCAAAAACACAGAAAAGGCTAATAAAAATTATATACGCAGGTAAAGACCAAATTGCTTGGCAGGCTTAAAATAAGTTCTATCTATATATTGTTTTGAGCTGTGAACTTTGAAAGAATGGTGTGAACAGCAAATACAAAAAAAAAAAAAAACAGCCTTTGAAAATTCAACTATGCACTGATGTGTGAGAACCCCTACGGAAGGAAATAAAAATGAGAGAACCAATGTGATTAAATAATGATAGTGCTAGCAATGAAAAATAAAATTAATACCAGCCTAAGAGGGAACCATAAACGAATAACACGTTAGTCCCAAACATATATATCCTAATCTCTTGTATCACTCGCTTCTTCATCAGTTTCTTGCTATTGGTAATTTCTCTTTCTATTGGATGTTTCTTCCCTTAGACAACATGTATAAAGGAACAGACTTCACCGACCAAATCGCAAGGCTGCTCAAGTAAACTAACTCATGTCTTATCATGTACAGCACAGTGGTGAGAAAGCTCTAAATCATCAATGCCAGCCAACAACAAGTATGAAATCAAGCCTAAGGAGAAACACCACACTATTGCCAATAAGTACTATTTTCCAATCATCAAACATGACACCAGAATACTCTTAAAACCAGAATCCCAGCTTACTTCATGCTCGATGCTATCTCTTTCCTTTTCTGTGGTGCGATGCAGATCCGTGTAGTCCTTTCTGTGCTTCAACAAAAACTGATCGAGCTCTCCAATACTCTCCAGCTAAAAACAAAGACCAAGAAAAAAAGTTAACATCACATAAAATTAGCACAGCACATAACTACAACCATGAATAAATTAATCTAGCTCACTGAAAAGAACAATTTGAAAGCCGAGTTTACCGTCTTCAATGCGGCTTTGGAAAACGGAGACCTTTGCGGCGGTTTATGGATGATGAAAGATGCCATAATAGACGCTACTTTAGCCTGCCAAGCGAATTCCATCACAGTGAGATTAGAAACCATTCAATGCTCAAAACAATAACCAATTACAATCAACACGTGTTCATAAACCCTATTTACCCAAACCCAAATGTAGCATTTTCACACACTAGAAAAATTAACGATTTGAATAATAAAGATCGCAAAATTGTGAATGGCGAACCTCGTCATAGCCCAAAGAGTGAGCGGTGCGGCGCACGGTATCTTTGAAATCCTCGGTTCTGTCCCTCGCTTTTACCATCTCTCAATTACGATCGATCAATGGGAATTCAGAAAGAAGCAAAGGAACCGAGATATCGTGCGACGCGATATGATGATAGGATACAATACGATACGATACGATTCAACGAGTTCCAATTTCAAACTTGAAAGGACTGTATGGTGTAGTTGTGCTTGAAAGAGTGAAATACAGGTAAATGGGTCGGAGAAGGACGCTGAAGGAAGCTCTGCGAAACCTAAACAAAAGGAAGAAGAAGAAGAAAAGAAGACGAAGACAATGCTTTTATGAGATCTAAACGAATCGTTTCACTACATGGAAAATGTTTTTCCTCTTATTTTCAATATTTTTATTCAATATTTTTTTTTGCAGATATAGTCAATTTAACTAGCTTGTTTAAACTTAAAATAAATATTTTTAAAACTGATAGTTTTTTCAAAAATAATTTATTTGAAAAATAAATATAATTTTTAATTAAATAAGAAGATTATTTGTCTTTAGCAAATATAAATTTTTATTTCTCTTTAATACAAATTCATTAAATATTTGAGTGTTCATATTTTTTTAGGGACATGACCTTATTTATTCTTACGATATTTTAGTGACATCAATTATAAAATAAAGAAATTAATGACACTATTTAGTTATCTGAGTAACTTTTATTATCTCTTATTGTTTAAAAATCAGATCAATGCAATGAATTTGAGCTAATAATAAAAAGTTTATCAGACTATGNTATTTTTAAAACTGATAGTTTTTTCAAAAATAATTTATTTGAAAAATAAATATAATTTTTAATTAAATAAGAAGATTATTTGTCTTTAGCAAATATAAATTTTTATTTATCTTTAATACAAATTCATTAAATATTTGAGTGTTCATATTTTTTTAGGGACATGACCTTATTTATTCTTACGATATTTTAGTGACATCAATTATAAAATAAAGAAATTAATGACACTATTTAGTTATCTGAGTAACTTTTATTATCTCTTATTGTTTAAAAATCAGATCAATGCAATGAATTTGAGCTAATAATAAAAAGTTTATCAGACTATGCATTTTCTAACTATTTCTTAAATTTTAGACATTTAATATGAACATTACCTTATAATAGTAGTAGTTAAACCGAATTAAAGTAGGAAGAATTCCCAAATTAGTTGATGTTGTTATCTTGAACCAAAAATTAATTATTACTTTTAAATAGTTTTCAGTAAACTAATTAATATTTTATTATTGTTATTTTTAGTTTATGTAAAAAAATTACTTTCTAGGAAATCTATGATGATAAACTATAATAATTATAAAAATGATGTAGTAGAAATTAAGTTTCATATTACCTTCCCTGAGTAAAATTAATTTTTTTTTCTTATTTAGTAAATTTAAGATTAACTAAACTGAAACGAACCCTTCTCCCTATACCTCCTAATTCGCTCTCATAATTACATGAATACTCTTCCGCTTGTACCGTTTTCGCGAGAATTAATAATAGTTAATGATGCATTAATCATTGTTTCCTTTTTCACCTACCAATATAATAAATTCATTATACATTCCCCTCATTTTCAAAACATACTCAACATACTTTTTTTTTTCTTCGTTCTTGTTTGTTCTTGTTTGTTTTTGTGTTTACTTGTGTTCATTCTGGTAGTGGTCCTTATGCTCGTTGGTGGTCTCGATGGTGGTGTGGTGTCCCGGTGTGTTGTGTTGGAGCTTAAAAGACTTCGTTCGAAACGAGTTTTAAGTTAAAAATCTTTAACTGAACTTCAAAGTTTGGTTAAGGCTTCGTCGGCGTCAGTTGAGGTTTTATCACAATTTGAAGCACGACGTGAGTTTAACTGGTATTCGAACGCCGATTAAAGCCTTGTCGTGTTTAAAAATGCAACTGAGACCTTAACTAGTTTTCAAACACTGACGAGACCTTAATCGTAAAGTTCGATTAAGGTATCTGAGCCTCCATTCACGCCAATCAAACTGGAATTTCACATAAATCCAAACAAATGACATGCATACGCTTTACATATAATTCAATCATACAATTCAATCCAATTTCTACTTCAATCCATATATACATGCACTAAAATTCAATGCAAACGACAATACATGCAACAACATTCAATGTAAACGAGAATGGAAACAAGCATAGAAAGAAAGACCAACATTTAGTGCATGTAGAGACGAGATCCAAACACCACCACACCACCAGCACAAACGCGATTTACAAAGGATGAGAAAGAACAACACCGCGACAAACGACAAACAGCCTGCCAGAGATGAGCGCAACATAGAGATGGTGAGGGATGACTTCGAAATGTAGCGAGAAAGAGTCATAATGGAGGCACGAGATTGATATGAGATGCAAGAGGGAGTTGCGCAAGATGAGATGCACGAAGGGAGGAAGGAATCACACAGTGAGGGAGGGTTTGGGGAGGAAGGCGCGAGAGAGGATTTTGGTCGAGAGAAGTGACTCTTAGGAGGTGTAGGGTTTTGGTTTTAAATTTTGGAACATAATATTGGTAAAAGATTCTTTCTGTTTTTATGTAATGTGTACAGCTACAGATTTTGAGAAGGTTATTATGGAAATTTTGGAGGTAAGAAGTGTGAACTGAATGGGGAGGTTTATTTAATATAATTGTTGTAAAAGTATTATAATTTTGGCTTAATACCTCTTTTGGTCCCTCAAAAGAGAGGTTGTGTTGAAAATAGTCCTACCTTTTTTAAAAAGTAACAATTGATCCCAACTTTTGAAAAAACGGTTCAAGTTAATCCTTTTTGCTTACGGTGTTAAAAATTAAACGGTGCAGCTGCCCCTCTGGACAAAACTTAATGGTGTGTCAATGTTATGTGATTGCGTGGCAGTAATAAGTTTATTGACGTGTAAAATTAAAATTGGAAGAAAATAAATTGACTACGTGGTAATGAACTGTGAGAGAGGTTAAAAAAAAGAGGGATTAGGGTTCCTAATTTGGGGTTTCCTATCCTACGATTAGGGTTGGAAGAAGAATTGGAAAAATTGAAAGAGGCTCCTCTCTCCTTGGGAGGTCCAATAATGGAAACTGGAATGCCTCTTTTATCCTTAACTAGAACGGTTTTCGGAAATCATTTACCTGAAATCCTGCCTGGAATTTACTTACTTGATCAAGTAACGACAATTCGTAAAATCGAAGAGCTGAAGTCGGCAAATGAACCAATTGGGGATTATTGGTTTTTCTTGGGATATTCAAGTTGGAGACAGAAACAATTATATGATGAGATGACAAAAGGAGCTTGGAACTTGAGTGAGGATGCAACGAGACACTTAAATTGGTCGTGATTGGCATTTATTGACCATCCTTACTGTATCGATAACATTTCTTATGGCCTTGTTAATTATATAATTAATTCACAATGCATATATGGTAGAAAATAACAGTCACATTCGTGGTTCATTAGAAGTAGTCTTTGAGGAGCGCAGAAAATAGGAAAATGTGTGCTTGGGTAAGTCATCCAAAGTTTTGTTTAGAGTTTTCTGGAATTTGGTTTTCGGAGGTTTTAGGTGGCTATGGATGAGGCTCGATTTGTGCTTTTTAGGTCTCTGCGGTTTCTTGCAGGTTTAGAAGGAGGAGATTTGGGTTTCTTTAGGTCTATGTGATTTGGGTTTCTTTAGGTCTCTGCGATTTGGGTTTCTTTAGGTCTCTGCGATTTGGTTTTCTTTAGGTCTCTACGATTTGGGTTTCGCCATTTTGTTTTTGAGTTTTTTTGAAAGTCTGGTGGAAAAGATGATGGTGGTTTTTTGGTTTGGTTGGAGTGACACATGGAGGAGGAAAATGTGATCTGGTTGTTGGGAAGAAATTGGTAGCCTTAGCGGTGGTATGAGGTGTTGACGAGGGCGATTTGTGGCTCTAACGTTTCTGGAGGTAGAAGATAAAGCTGATGTGGCAAGCAATTAGTTTTTTTAAAATTCAAAATTGACACGTTATATTGCCTCAGTGTGCCACGTATGAGAAAAAGAGGACATGTCATTAAGTTTTGGCCAAGGAGGCAACTGCACCCTTAAAATTTTGACGCCGAAACAAAAAAAAATTAACTTGACTTGGTTTTTCACAAGTTGGGACTTTTTAAAAAAGATAGGACCATTTTGAACAATCCCTCTCTTTCGAGGGACAAAAAAGTATTAAACCTAGAATTTTATGGACTATGATATGTTAACAACTTTTTAACAATAAGTCACTATTATTATTTTATTAAATTTATTGATCCGTTTAAATTTATTTAGAAAAATATTTAAAACGGACTAATCACGAGCTTGTAAAAAAGTTATTAAAAAAAAGTTGTTAAAATAAATATTTTTCCATCTTTAATATTTAAAATAGTTTTAGCCAAAATAGCCTAGGGAATAATTTAAAAAACAATAATATATAAACAAAAATATTAAATAAATTTGACCATCCATCTTAATGAATATAAAAATGATTAACTTTAGCACCTCGAAATTACACCAAACACAACAGATCCTAATTAATGGAAAACATAGACATGATAAAATATTTAATGTTTTTAGACCAAATTTTAACATGAATTAAATTAAAGTTTGATAAACGGATTTCAGTTACAGTTCTGCAAATGTAACCTTCCTTTTCGCAAATCTTAAAGCTGAGTCGTCAACAAAAGAAAAACAGAGAAAACCAGAAAAACAGAGAAAACCAGAAAGAGAAAAGAAGAAAGAAGGAATTTGTATTGACTGGACCCACCAATTTGTTTTCCTTTTTCTCATTTTCTATGATTTCATCTAAAAGGTTAGAAAATAAATACATACTTTGTTTTCTACTCACTAACGTTACAAAGTAGCTGAAGTTTCAATCTTCAACAAAACCAAATTAATTAACACTCACAGTTTTTAATAAAATATTAATGACTTTTTAATTTATTTCAAAATGAATTACATTGATGCTTATATTTACACTAATAACTTTTTTTTAAATCAATTTATTTCTTAAGAAAAAAGAAAACTTAGCATTTAATATAAACTATAAAAAATGTCTTAGTGACATGTGTTGGAAATTGATTTGCTTTGATTTTGTTGAAAATTTTCTATTTAAAACAAAACCTTAAAAATTCTAATGAACTATGTCAATGTAAAAGAAATAATTAATTTTATATAAGGGTTAAACAGTCTTATTAAGAATTGAAATGACAATAATATTTTAATAACTTTCCATAACAACTTAAAAAATAATATGTAATTATTTTATTGACCCATTTAAATTTATTTTGAAAAGATATTTTAAACAAATCAATTAAAAGCCATATGTGAAAATTGTAAAAAAAATTACAAAAAAGAAATTGTTAAAAAACATTTTCTAAGTTGAAATTAGTTTTTCTTTAAAATTTTGATTTAATTTAGTTATTTGTTTTTAGAATTGTGTGAATTATTTTAATTAAATTTGTTAAATTTATTTTAAGTTTAACGAGTTTTTTAATTAACATTAAAGAAAAATTGTGTTAAACAATATAAATAACTCAAATATTATTATAAAATATTAAATAAACTTAATAAAATTTAGTTAAAAAAACTAAATTAAAATATTTCTGAAATAAAAAAATTAAATTATATTAAAATTTTAAAAATACACTAATTCTATTTTTCACTCAAGAATAAAAACATATTTAATTTTTTTTACATAATTTTGTTATATGTTTCAATCATTTGAAAAGATGTAAGTTGAAGTGAACGGTGAAAAGGCGAAGAGAGAGCGTTGGGTGAGAGAAAGAGAAACAAGATTTTGAGCATCATTGTGGAGTCAAATTCAACATCAGTTACTTTCCAGCATGTCATCAGAAGCTGCTTCTTTGGTTTCCTTGTTGTATCCACAACAAACAAAATTCACAACTTCCAAACAAAAATATAATATAGACTCATTGGTATGTTACTTTTTGGTTACCTTAGACTTTCAAACGCTGCTTATTTATTACAACATTTGTTTCTACGTCCCCTTCACTTCCCCCTCCACACTCTATAGTAAATGCTTTCTGCACAAAACGGCATGAATCTCAATATCTGCTTTGAACCAGTTTCTCTGTGCTCTGTGCTTCCTTGAGTTTTCGCCTTTGCATGCAGCTCTGCTCACTCCATCAGTGATAACTTTTTTACCTGAGATTAAAAGATCAAAAGGGTATGTGAGTTCACCTTGGTATCTGTAATTTGGTGTCTGACAGGTTTTACGTTTTTTTTTTCGTATCATTTTTCACTCAGAAATGTTCATTTCTTTACCCCTTTAATGCAGGACTTATGTTTTTGGGTTTCAATGCTTTGGGGCTCTTATAGTTGATACAAGTAAGAGTTATTCATAGTTATTGTGCCACTTTTGGCTTCTGTACTACAAATTCTTGGTCATTCTGTTGTTTTATGTTTTATTTACTTTTTGTGTTTTGCTTCTTTTTGGTTCTGGTTTAGAATACTGCTAATAGTGATTTTACTATACTTGAATAGTATTATTACCTTTGGTGAAGTTTCGGTGAAGGATATTTGTTAAAAAAATATCAGGCATTCCAAGAGAAATTCGACAAAAAGGAATGGAATGTAAGAGAGGAAAAGAGAAGGTTCCAGCCAAAGCAAAAAACGTAAAAACATCAAGGAAAATTAGAATTGTGTACACTGACCCTGATGCTACAGATTACTCAAGTCAAGAAGAAGAAGAAGAAGAAGAAGATGATGATAAGTTGTTGAGAAATGGCTATGAGGTAAGTGGTTGCTCCAAGCGGGTTGTGAAGGAAATCTTGCTTCCATGCATGCAAAGCAAGTTACAAGAAGAGAATTCATCACAAGATGTAAACAGTGAAAAGATGAAAGCAAGTCCAATCGATTTTTCAAGTGGGAGGATGAGGAAACCATCAAGCGTGTACAAAGGTGTTCAACGTAGGAAATGGGGGAAGTATGTAGCAGAAATCAGAGACCCTATTCAAGGGGTGAGAGTGTGGCTTGGTACATTTGATACCGAACAAGAGGCTGCCATGGCTTATGAGAGAAAGAAGAATGAGTTTGAAAGGTCGAGAAAAAGGGATGCAGTGGCTTTTGACAGTTCCAAAGAAGTGTTGTTTCATGCATCTCCATCGTCAGTGCTTGATGTCTGCACTACAAAAGCTTCACTAGATGTTAGTGATCTGAATGATTCAGTCAAAGAAAATTTCAATGTGGAAAAGGTTGGTGAAGGAGGAGGCACTGATGTGGAAGTGGAACCAGTCAACAGTGAAGATAATTCAACACAACTTTTGCTGGAGGAGCCAGTTATGGCATCATTGTTTGGATATGATGGTTTCTATTTGGATGAAGCAGAGAAAAGGGGAATTCTGCTTGATAATGAGTTTCATAATTTCTTGGACAATGACTTCAAAGGTGGTTTTATGTGGAATGTGGAACATGGGGAAGCCACTGTCCTTCCCCCTGTGGACAGTTCTTTTGATGAGTTAGCTTGGATTGATGAAACTCTAGATTGGGAAAGCTCGTGAAATTTTTTATTCACTTGTTTGGACCAGTTTTTGCATTAGTTTTTCTGAAACAATTTTTTTTTCATGAGTCAAAATTATTATGTATAACTTACAATTAAAAGTTTAGATAGGTGAACTTCTATAAATTACTTTATTCATAAGTTGATTTTGATTTAAGAAAAAAACTATGGTTTTTACTTTTCTTTTATAGAAGAAGTTTATGCAGAAACTCGTTTAAACAGGTTACTGGGTGCAGTTATTATGGAGTATATAGGTTAACAAAACGAGTTTTAGCATATTGCATTTTAACTGTTGAGACTTGAGGCTTTGTTTCCATTGTGAAGAGCTCTTGAGAATTTTGCTGCAGATTGGAGAAACCGTTTTGTAGTTTTTCAATTTTGTTAAGAAACTAAATCTGTTTCATATTTTCTTCAGTGTGTCCTAATGTCTTTGATCTATTTCCTTCTTGCTTATTATATCCACTTTGAAAAGACATTGCTCCTGAGTGTGTACTTTATTTGGTTTTGGCTACTGTTATTGCATGGAAAATCAAAACAAAAAGAGAATGCCAAAGTAAAGTTAAAAGCAAAAGCATTACAATTGCAAAGAATAAATGTTCCCCGCATGAAAAATTTAGCTACTATTTTCCCCCAACACATAAGCACAAAAAATTAATTAAGCACGGATCATTTGAAAATATCCTTGTTTATTCCTGTTCTGCTCGTGGGGTGTCTGTCTGACAACGAGAATAAAGGAGAAAAAAAAAATCCAACTTCAAAAATATTAGAAAAAATATATAAAATTTTCAATTATGTATAAACTAATTTTTCTTTTTTAGAAAAACTTATGGAATAGTTCATCCAAAAAGACCCAATCTACAGAAAGACGCTGATTCTCATAAAATCTCGTGCAATAGATAAAAATTCCTTTCACATTTTCTTCAACAAGTTTAAGTGTAATAACTCAACGGAAAAACAAGAACAACCCAAACTTGTGTTAACAAAGAGGAGAGAAACGAGGGACGTAAAAGGCAATTACTCATAAATTGATAAATATTTCACTATTACATTTGGAGAATTGGAGTTTCAATTTTGAAGATGCTGCATAAAACTCTACAAAAGAGTAGTGAAAATAGCAGCAAATTTGTCTTTGAATATCAAAATATCTTAGGTATACTAACTGCTCTCTGAACATCGTAACACATCAAGTTCTTGATGAATTTTAAAGCACTTTCAAGTTCCACGCAACATCAGAGCTAGAAAGGAGGAATTTGCAGATCAATTGCAAGACGATGCTTATCAAGTGAAGTTCACAGCAAGATCTCATGATGCTCCTTCACGGCTAAAGGAATTAGAAGAGTATGAAATCTTGAAAGGGAAAGAGGACATAATGTTAACCATTCAATGAGAATTACCACGGCGGTGACAATGCTTTGACTCTCAATCTCCATATTTGTTAATCAGCTTAAGGTTCAGACCTCAGACATTGTTGTTGTTTCCTAAAAGCCAACTCACATACAACAGCTAGGTGATCACTTCCCCATTTCTACAAGGCATAATAATCATAAAGATACTAATAATCCAAATCCAAAATGGAACAAGATACATCAGCGCAGTACAGAGTATGGTTTCAAAGAACTAACTTTAAGTAGATTACCTCACTGGGGAGTCCTCCAGATCTTCTAAGAATATCAATTGGCAAGGTTTCAAGAACTCTAAGTGGAACAAGATCATCGGAATGCCTGATTACCAATGACATCGGTCATAACTAACAAACAAACAATCTGTAAATGCATATAATTTTTGGCGTTTGTTAAACAATATAATTACCAGATATAATCAACAGTTCCCATGAACTTGGAGTGGTATGATGTTGCCAAGGGCTCCCCAATATCATCTCTTGTTCTATGGTCTCCCTGCAGCCATAAGTACATGAGATTTATGAAGATGAAGTGGGAAGTATCAAGATTGTTTGAATATCCAACTAAAATCTTTAAGGAGTTTCCCATATTAATATTAGATGCACAATCTTTATATCACAATCACAAAGAAGTTGCAGAAATAATCGATTGTAACAATTTTAGCTGACAGATTAAAACAGCATACAGGAACACCACTATAAGCACTGCGGAGTTTGAGCTGGTGCTGAAGTTGAGTGATTCCTTTTGCTCCTGTTGCAATTCTTAGTTCTTCCACACTCCATCTATATAGCAATTGCCTTGAAAGAGTCATCGAAATGCTGCACCAGATACCCAAATAATTATTACAGAACGCCCAAATATCTAAAGTTTGCCATAAACAATGATGATAACCCTTCCCTCTAAAATTGGACAAATAATAACAATACTTGAAACAGAGGCAAGAAACTGGATAAGTGAACATCTTGGTTTAGAGGAGAGTTCTCAGCTCAATCAATTATATTGAATCTCGTAATTAGGGAAAGAAGATTACAAAGTCAATTAGATGTTCTATAGCCTAATTAGGTGCAGCAAATAAAAAGGATATAATACAACAGTTTACAGCATAAACAAGGATATAATCAACAACAACAGTAAAGGCAATAACATTATTACATCATTAAGAACAACAAACGACCACATTATCCATATCAACAAATAATCTACAGTCTCGACAAATAAGTGGTCCTTAATCTGTTCCAGATTTGATAATTGTGTTGTTCTTTTTCTATATGAGAGAGTGGGGAGGGGAAGTTATGGCAGATAATAATCAAAACATGAAGATAGGAAAGACATAAAAACTACCTAGCATCATCACGAATCTGTGATCTGAAGAGTCTGTTGGACTGGATTTCAAGCTGTCCTGACATATTTCGGCGATCATGTAGTTGGATGTCTAACTGCAATAAAATAACCACTGAAAACTCATTCATGGTCCCCTCTCCTCAAAGAACAAGTCACACCTCTAACTGTATTTGGATTTTTCCATTAACTGAAAGGAATGGGACAAGTAAGGATGAACTCAACATGGAGGGGAATTAATGACACAAAGCTAGCTTTTCTTTTGTTCATAAAATTAACAAGGGAAAGGAACCTTTGGGTTCCTCTCATTCCAATCAATTTCCAAGGGAACAAAAATTGATTCTTTGAAAGAAACAAACAGCAAATAGTTCCTCTTGTATTCTTTTACCATCCTATCTGTTTACAAACTCCCAAACAAGGGAATATGTTCCCCTTTTCCTCATACCCTTTCTGTGCCCCCATCATCTGTAATGTAATCCCGATTAATTATTTACTGATGGTTTGAGACACTACATATAGTCAAATTTCTCAGATACCTCACACAAATAAGCTAAACGGCTAGAGAATATACCATGACAAGGAGATGACAAACTCACCTTTGACGAAGACAGAAACTTGTATATGGCACTCTGAAGCATCAGATGATACGAAACAAAAACAATGAAATAACAGCACATTAGATAACTAATCTGAAATAGATAAACTACTAAGTATAAAGCAGTATCATTACCTGTGGAACACTATTCAAATCCCCAGCAATAATAACAGGGATGTTGCCCCATTCTTGTGACAACTTGTAAGCTTTATCAAGTAAAAGTCTGACCTGTCCGTTGTCATGTAGTAGTTTTCCGTAATAAGAAAAATATTAGACAACTTAATTAACTATAGACAATTAAATGCATTTATTATATAATATTAAAAAGTTTAAAAATTGAATCACATGCATAAACACAAATGGCTATACATGTGAAAAATAAGTATAATGATACTCATCTAGTTAAGAAGTACCTGGCCCAGTTTGATGTCACCACGATTTGGGTTGAATAGCACATGTATGTTTCCCACAACAAATCTTCTTTTTCCTGTGGATGGTTCCCTATAGATGACGATCATATTAGTTGCTAAGTGAAAAACTTAAAAAATCACTGGCCGTGAAATAGACACCATGTGTGTGTGAGAGAACATATGTGAATAAATGAGTGCACATATCAATCTTTCCAAAATTTTCAATTTTAAACGTGCTAAAAATTAGCGATGCAATAAAGTTTCAAGAGAAGGAAATAACAGAAACAAGTCACTGGTTGGTATGCAATAATTTAGTAAACAAAAGTAAATACAGTCATTCAAGAATACTGAAATAGAAGCACAGCCAAGTGCTATGCAAAAACCATGTTAAAGACTGCAAATGATTGTGTTCATGTTACCCATCTTAGACATCAAAACTTACATTGTGGTTAGGTTACATGCGTTGGATTCTTTTTTATCATGGTTTCCCTGTAAATTGATAATAAAACAGAGTAATAAGATATAAAAACGTTTGGTTTCATTGCAGCAAGAACACGTACATGTATACAATAGAATATAAGATGGGGTGGGGGGAACTAAAAATTTTGTATAACAGATCATAAATCCTTCTAGTGAAAGACAGCAGAGCAAATACAAAACACAGGATGGAAACAACTTAAAGATAAAACTAAACCCAAAATACCTCCAAAATACACAGCTGGGCAACATTGTTACGCATGCCAAATCTTTGGAACTCTATATCTTCTTGATGCAAAAGATTGAATCTGCATTCACATTACAAAATATAATTAGGTCAAATTAGGGATTCGATATTTTCTCAATTGATAAGTTCTATATTAGCACATTTTTTAACTGTTGATTTTCTGTTGCATCAAGAAATACTTACGCACTCATTTAATTATTGTCAAAGGACAACAATGTAAATAAATTGATTAATATAGGGTACAAAAACTCAATTACGTAAATGATTTATGGGTTAGGTAAACCTACAACTCGTCTTTCCAAAATACAGCACATCCATCTTTTGCTTCCCCAGTGCGAGCCTGTGACAAATGAAAACAATGATCCACATAGGTACTTGATTAAATATTAGGAGTTTTAAAACTAACATGATAGTTTAAATGTGTATGTAATATACCTTATAAGTACCTTTAAAGCCACTGTTCTTGAAAAGATTGTCTAGATCATTAAAATGATCAACCTCCTTCAGACACAAGATTTATGAGAAAGCAATTCT